TCTTGATTTCAGTGAGAAGGCATGCCTGAGAAGAATTTCTCATTTACTACATACATATGAAATAAGAAACCTCTAGTAGTTAGTTCCCCTGATAGATATCTCTAATAGATCTGTTCAGACCAAGCATTCACCTTGTCTTTCTGTTGTAATGGATGTTTTGTCAATTATTCAGAAAGTCTATCTGTAGCAAGAAGTTTGAAATTCAGATGACAAATCTGCTGCCCTTGGTATGGGTTTTTGTGCATTGCCAGATCTCTTCAGTGTAAGACAGAATGGATGCCCATGGACATTGGTAAAGAGTTATTTGAGATAGGTGAAAGATTGTGTCAGGATATATCCTAAAAATTAAACAATATAGCAGTTACATGATGGTGCTTGATCTCTTTCTCTGGCACTCCTTGGTTTACTAATACAGATGTAGCCTTAAGTCCTGCAAATCTAATAGATGCATCTAAAAGGAAGGTGCATAATATGATGATACCAAAACCATGCTGTGAGTTTTGTCATAAACTGTCTTTAAGTTGCAACTTCCTATTAAGCCTTTGCTAGCAACTCCTGTTGCTGTAGTTATCTTGTTATCTCTTCCTTAGCAACAGTCTCACAAGAGTAGCCACCTGCCTACTTTTGAAAGGAAGAGGATTCCTTTGAAGTGAAAGTATGTTTTGATGCATGACATGGATTAATATTGATGTGATGAAGCTATGCTAGTGGAAGTAAGAAGTGCCCTCTTGCATGGGAAGAGCAGTTTCTGCTTCCTCACCCCTCAGTCAAGTAATTTGGAGACACCTAAGATAACCTTCTCAGGTCCCCAAGGACTGTATTAATTGCTGGAATCTAAGTTGTGAGGAGGGGGGGAGATTGTGCCCATGAGAGTCTAGATCCAACATGGTCTTGAGAAACTGTAGTCTGACTCAAGCAGATAACTGCCTGCTCTCCTGTGATACTGTTAACTAAGGAAGAGGACAAAGCCTTAAGATAAGCCTGATAGTCCTCATGTTGTTGAGCTGTCCCAGGGAGACACTTTTTCATGCTGAAGAGTAAATAAGGTGATACGGCTTCTTTGTTCTCTATGATGCTTCTGGCAGAAAGCAAATCTGGTTCACCTGCCTTCACCCATCCTCATTTGGGGACTTTATAATTTGATGGCAAAGTAGTATTGTAGCCTTTTACAGAGTCTGCAAACAATAGTAGCTATCAGATTTGAAGATGAATATTTGATCAATCAGACTAAGCTTATGAAAGGGAGAGGACAGGCCTTTCCTTCCAGTTAGGTAATCAACTTCTATGAAATCATTTGTATGCCAAAAGGAGTAGTATAATTTAGGACCTGAAGTGTTCTGCTCTATATACATTCTTTCTTCTAGGAAGTAAAATAAATGTTACAAGAGAGGAGGCTTTGTGCGAACTTGAGAATTGACTGGAGATTATAGTGAAACCAGAAACATTTTATCATTTCAAGCCGTACTACTCTCCTTAAAGCCAGTAAGTCGTATTCATGTTAGGGTTCAAAATGGTGTTCCATTAACTTTAGTTTTGCACTATTTGAAGAGTGGTTTAGAACAGTAGTATACATTGGCCTTTCAAATCAATTTATTAGATGATGTTCTCTAGGTAGATAAGGTAAAAAGAACTTCTTAAATGGATTAACAGTTCCTAATCCATTTAAACACTGATTCAGTGGAGCACCTAAGTGTGTACTTAAAGTTAAGTACAGCAGTTGTTCCCTTTCAATCAGTAGGACTGTTTACATACCAAACTTTAAGGAAAAGTTCTGGCATTTTTCCAAATCAGGATCATAAGTAGGGGTTCTTTGACAAGACAGCAAAGGACATTAATGCCAGACCTAATCTTTTGCTAACTATTTGTCATCTTTATTCCCTGCTCATGCATGCTTTCTCAGCGAGTAGATTGAGCCTCTACCTGCTTGATCCTTTCTTAAATAGCTTAGTGGTCCCTTAGGGCTTTGCACAGCAGTGTTTTGCCGCACATTCTACCCATCTCTATCCTTTTTAAAAAAAAAAAAAAAAAAGAAATAGGATGTCGAGTTTTTTCTCCAGTGTTATTTGACTTCAGTGAAGTTACAGGGCTGCACTTGGAAAGAGAATGTGATTTTTGACCTATTATTTCACCCCCCAGAGACTTGGTTCTGAGATCAATTAAATATATCTACTATAACATAAGGATAGTAGATTCTTCCATCATGCGTGCCACTAGTTAAGAATCAATGAAAAACAGAAATTGGACATTCTGCAAAGCTTCTGACTCCTGTGTCCTGTAGGCGAGTGTCCCTGGCCCTTTCCAATATATTCCACGTTATTGTTCTCACTAACATTTGTGCAGTTGCCTGCAGGCTCTGTTCTGCAGTCTATTCTCAGGATTTCCCACAGCTCAAATGACTGATTAGCTACTGTTTGTCCCTTACGTGAAAATTGAATGCACCCTTAAAGGCAGACAGACTTGAGCTATTTGAGAGCTGTAGTTAGTCCTCCCTTTGAAGGTATAGCAGCTTATATAGGAAGCTCTTGCAAAGTTCAGGGAGGGTAGTAAAAAGGCACTGGATCCAATTAGCTTAATGGTGTTGCAGATATGTGCAGGTGTGAACTTATATATGGGACAGAACCTTGCATGAATATTCCCTGGGCCGTGTCCACGTGTTGCAGCTTTGGCCACAAAGTTACCCTTT